TGTTTCAACATTGTGACAGGAGTGCCTCTTCTGGAGTCAGTCTATCGGTGACCCCGCCCTCCTGTTATGGGCCAACCGCCTGCCTTCTCACCTGCCACACCTTGATCTTAATTAATTAATGGATGTTAATTAGCAGGAGGCTGCCCATTTATTTGCCCTGGTGCCAGGGGGCACTATCTGTGGCTCCTTTTCCTCCCCTACACCACAGCCCAAGCCTTGCAGATGATACTGATGTGGTTTGATCTGGACCTTGTTATAATCTGGCCCTCCCCTTGTCTTCCCTGAGCTTTCCACAGACCTGTCTCGCTCTGTCTCATTCCGTACCTTCCTGGTGCTCCGCTGCCCCCTCTCTCTGGGGCTTCTCGCTGGCCCCCACGCTCTGGGGCTTCTCGCTGGCCCCCACGCCGCTGTGGGTCCCCTATGAGGCCTCCTCCAACCCCTAATAGCCTCACCCAAACCTCCGGTAAAAACAAAACACAAAACACAAGTCCCTGGGTTATAACAAAAATCCAAGCCGCCTGGCTAAAACATTCAGTCCCTACCAGGGAATACTCCAGCCCATAACAGCATCAGGAGCTGCTTGTGCAGCCAGGCCTCTCCCCTCTACTTGCTCTGGCAGAGCTCCCTTCCCCCTTGGCTGCCAGAAGGGAACTGCCCTCCTAGCCTCAGGACTAGGATTCATATGGGAGCCAGGCCCCGCCCCTTCCGGTCAGCTGACCAGGTGCAGGTGCAGCCAATTCCCTCCTTAACCAGTTGTCACGACAACCGGCACCTGGGTTCCTGCCTCTTCTCTGAGAGTAGCAGGCACCTTAGTGTCCTGCTACAGACCTGTTTCAAGGTCAAAACAGCAAAATCAGAATCAAACAGATATGGTCAAAACAGCCTTGAAACGAAATGAGGCAAGTCGAAGCATTCTGCGGTTTTGATGCTGTTTCGACATTTCTCCCATAGGCTATAATGGGGGAGGTCAAAACAGCCTATTACTTTGTCATTTCTGCCACATTTGGATAAATCTTGTAGAAATGTTAGCTCCTTCTGAGGTCATAAAGCGTGCCAAGTTTCAAGGAGATAGGCGCAGGGGGTTCGGAGAAACTGCACACCAAAATCTTGAGAGCCAAACTTGTGTCATGTGTTAAGCCACAGCAGGGTCAAAACTACAGGAATGTCAGCCCCTGATGAAGCCACAGAGCCTGCAATGTTTCAAGGACATAAGTACAGGGGGTTCGGAGAAACTGCACCCCAAAATCCTGAAAGCTAAACTCATGTCACGTGTACGTGTTAAGCTACACTGGGGTCAAAACTGCAGGAGTGCTAGGCACTGCTGAGGCCACAAAGCCTGCCAAGTTTCAAGGAGATAGGTACAGGGGGTTCTTAGAAACTGCACCCCAAAATCCTGAAAGTAAAACTCATGTCACGTGTATGTCTTAAGCCACAGCATGATCAAAACTGCAGGGCTATGGCCCCTGCTGAGGCCACAAAGGCCTGCCATGTTTCAAAGAGATTGGTGCAGTGGTCTGGGGAAACTGCACCTCAAGCTGCTGACAGGCAAAACTCATGACATGGGTGACACTGTGTGTGTTAAGGTGCAGCAGGGTGAAAGTTGCAGACCTGCTAGCCCCTGCTGCAGCCACAACGCCTGCCAGCTGTCGAGGAGATCGGTGCAGGGCTTCTGGGTTCTGGGTCCCTGCCCCTCTAGCTGCTGACAGACAAAATTGGTGACATGGGTGCTTGTGCAAATAACTGTGTCTGTCATGGGGCAGTTGATTATCTCTATTGATTCATTCCTCTCCTTAGTCTGTGCTTTTGTCCGTTTTAAGCCATGCTCGTTAAGTTGTTATGTAGTAGCTAGGTACTGTGTATTGAGCTGGTCCCTGAGTGAATCATGATTGATTGGTAACTGGTAACACAGTAGCTTAGCAGCCAGGCCTGCAGTAGTCGCGCCCCCCCTACACCCCTCCAGTGCCCCAAGACACACACAGTTGTACAAGCACCCATGTCACGAGTTTTGCTTGTCCGCAGCTTGAGGTGCAGTTCCCCCCCCAACCCCTTCAACTATCACCTTGAAATCTGGGAGGCTTTGCGGCCTCAGCAGGGGCTAGAATGCCTGCAGTTTTGACATCATTGTGCCTTAACACCTACATGTGACACAAGTTTTTCTTCCAGGATTTTGGGGTGCAGTTTCTCTGAACCCCCTGTACCTATCTCCTTGAAATGTGGCAGGCTTTGTTGCTCACCAGGGGCTACCACCCCTGCAGTTTTTAACCTGCTGTAGCTTAACACATACAAGCAATTTGAGTTTTGCTCTCAAGAGTTTGGGGTGCAGTTTCTCTGACCCCCTGCACATATCTTCTTGAAATTTAGCATGGATCATGCCTTCAGAAGGTGCTACCATTACTGCAAGTTTTATCCAAATCTGGCTAGAAATGACAAAGTTATAGCCTGTTTTGACCTTCCCCATTATATATCCTATGGGCAAAACATCAAAACAGGGTCAAAATGTCAAAACGTTTCGACGGAACAAAACAGAACAGCCGTTTTGACTCCAAACAAAAGTTGAAATGACACACTGTTCTCTCAAAACATCGAAAAGCTGGTTGAAATGAAATGCTTCCATTTTGCACGGCTCTAATATTCACCATATTTTAGTTTAAACATGCACTTTATTCTAAAATATACATTTTTATTGCAGTTGCTGCTTGTCTTTCCTTCTCTAGACACACTGACTTAATGGCTAAATTATGGGAAGTAGAACTGAAGTGTTACCTGGTCCAAGTGTGGTATTGAGGGTGTAGAAAGAAAAATAAGGGAGGGGGCTGCCAAGGTTGGCAAGAGAGAATTCAGTAGCATAATAAGGGGAGGAGGGTACCCATCCTGGGTGCTGACTGTGAAGGGGTGCCAGGATACCACCTTCACCAGGAGTCTTTGTTGCACCAGGGGAACTTCTGTGCTGCCCCTGCCAGGTCATAGGAGCCAAGCAGGACAGTACCACACAAAGCAATGTATCTGGGGGGCAGGAAGTGAGCAGGGTAAGCAGAATGATGCTCCCCCTGCGCCTGGGAGCCGATGCCATAGCAGGCACAGCCCTGCTCCCAATATGTGTGTATGGGGCAGGGGAAAGTGAATGGGACACCAGGATCCATTCTGAAGAACCCTGGGCACAAGAGAGCTGACACTGCTGATGCTAAGCAACGGCAGTAGCAGCAAGCAGTCCAGAAGATGAGATTTTCTGCCCCTCGCCCATGCTGCTGAGAGAACTCTGACATAAAAATTAAATCAATGGAGGATCCAGAAAAGTCCATTTGCTCCTTAACAGTCAATGTACATCAGCAGTATAGTTTTAGAAAACTGTTGCTAGGTATTCCACAGCCCAGGGATCTGCAGCAACTTTCTTATAATGCAGGACAAAATACAGCAGAAATAAGAGAGAGCATTGGGCCAAATTCTCTTCTCAGCTCCCTCAGTGCAAATCCAACATCACTCCACCATCAGCCACTTGGCTTCAGCGTGGCAGACCTGGGGGTCTACTGCCAGTTTGAGGCTGCAGGACTTGAAGGAAGAAGAACGTAATCACCTGCAGGGGCAGACTCAGCTTTTGTGAAGTTGCCACAGAATCTCTCGAGCACTGCTTCCCAAACTTTTCCTCAGCACGACCCCGTTTATGACCCCATTTCTTCAGCATGGCCCCTCACCTGCAACCTGAAGCCTCCCACAGCCCCAGGTGCCCCTCACTCCCCACCCAAAGCTCCCTGGCCCTGCCAGTGCCTCTGACTCCCCACCCACAGCCCCCCAGCTTGCCAGGTGCGCTAGGACCAGGGTCCACAGTGCCCTGTCCCTCCAGCAGCAGCACCCAAGCCCTGGCTGCCACCTGTGGGAGGTGGTAGCTGCTGCAGCCAAAGTGGAGTACAGAGCCTGGCTTCCACCACCTTTCCCCAGCCCCTTCCCTTGCAGGTAGCACTGCCGGAGTGGAGTCCATGGGGGGAAGATATGGGATACTTAATAAAGGCTTGGGAGTCCCCACTCTGCTGCCCACCCCCAGGGATGCCACGTCCCAGTGGGCAGGACACAGCATAGGAGGGAGGGAGCACCACCATGGCTGCCAAGTGAGGCGCCCCCTGCTCTCCTGGCAGCAGCATGGGCACAACTCCGCACTGCTACCACTGCCATGCCTCACCTTGGCAGACACGGTGGTGCCACACTCCCTCCACAATGGGTCCTGTCTGCTGGGCTGCAGAGGCAGCTGCTGCCCAGAGCTGGTCCAACCTGGCTGCAGCCCCACAACCCACTGTGGGTGCAGAAATCTCAGGGGCCACATTTATCATTATCCCATCTGCTGACCCCCCATTTGGGGTCGCAACTCACCGTTTGGGAATGGTAAAACCAGTGATAAGCTTGGCTGAACATCTCACCCATAAGCTTCATCTCACATGTTGCAGTGCCTCCAATTGCTATGTGAGATCACTGATTTGCGACTGAGTTTGGGGCATAGAGAGAAGTGTCTATTACTATATTATCAGCACCAATCTCTGCAGCCTGCTGCTGCTGCCAGGGTTTACCAGGGAAAGTTTCCCAACCTTCTGCTGAACTCGCTCAGCTCTGCTTCACTGATAAAGTCCGACTCAAACACAGTCCGCAACAACAGACCTGCAGACCGTTGAAATAGCAGCCCACATTTTCTTAATCAGAGTGCACAGACTACAAAGGAGTATTGAAAACATAACTGTTTCTCTTTCAACCTTCCTCCATCGGAGAGACAGTATTTTGAACAGCCTCAGCAATGGCTAACTAGAACAAAGTCTGTATTTGGCAGGGTAAATTACTGGGTCAGAAAGATTTTAGAGATCAGCTCAGTGGAGACCAGTAGCTAATTTGAAGCCCATTTTATACCTCCTTGCTGTACACTGGTAAGTTAACCTTAACTCTTTGAAATACTCATTGCCTCCAATGCTCTGCTGTCTTATTAGAGTGCGAATGATGACTTCATGTTGTTGTTTTTTTCCCAGGCAGGTCCTGGCGCACAGTTCTTTGTGAAGTATCAAATAAGAGAGAGCACTTGTGCCATTGGGGAAGGCAAACCCTGGCAAGACTGTGATTACAGAGAATCTGTGGAAGCTGTAAGTGGCTGCCCTCTTCTTTCAAAATTCTCTTTCTGGAAATAGCAATGTAATCCACCAGTTACCAGTCTCCTGGGGAAAGTGTGCAGTTCTGCTTTGAAAAGCAACTGTGCCAATGGCATTGTGGGGTTGTGTTTCAATAGGCTGGCAGAAAAGATGTGCTCCTGCAAGTAAAAAATAAAAAGATGAAGCCGGGTTCCCTCACACTTATTGCTACCTGCCAGCCCTACAAACCCAACTTAGTGTGTGGGGCTAGGGACAGACATTCAAAAAGCCTAAGCCTGAATTGATTCAATCTTTGCAGGTTAGTCCAACGTGGCTAGGCTAAATCAGTTTTGTAACCAGACAGGCATCCAAGAAATGCAGGCACATGGCTGCAGTGGCTCAGGCTAGAACTGGGGGCACTAGAGAAGCCCCCCCTTTCCTTCCACAGTGCTGAGCTGAGGGGGGCATGGCCAGACTCAGGCAGGATGCTCTGATTAGGGAGGATTCCCCACTTTCCTGAAAGGCCCAGCAGGGGATGTTTATCACCCCTAAGTCTGTGATTATAACCCCATTAAGACAACAACAGAGAGACATTACTAGTTATCTGTTAATTCTGCCTTTGTCCGGAGTGCCACAGCTCAGAGGTAATCAGCATGTGGGCTGCTAACTAATGGGGAGAGATATTTGTGAGGGACGGGGGAATGCCTGCTTAGCAGAGAGTGGGGAGGAGTGTGGGGAGCAGAAGCCAGGCAGACATCTGCAGAGACTACTGGAGCTGCAGCCAGGGAACAGAAGGGAGGGGCCAACCCTGTTGTGAAGCAGAAATCCCCACCCAGTGCAGAGAGCATGCCGGGATGCTGGTGGTGTCTGGTTTATCTTAAACCAGCAAGGCATCTGGGACAAACATTGCATC